GGGAGCCTGCTTCTCCCTCTGCCTGCCGCTCCCCTTGTTTGTGCTCTCTATCTCTCTGTCAAATAAATAAATAAAATCTTTAAAAAAAAAAAACCACTGACCTATGCACCTAAAAATGGTTAAGATGGTAAATTTTATGTTAAGTCTATTTTCCCACAGTGGGGGCGGAGGGAAGAGCACTAGCTCCAGCCAGCTTTCCTGCCTGTGGATGGCAGCTGTAGTCCATTCACCTGAGCTACGTAACATGGAAGGTCAGGACTTAACTCCAATAAGCAGTCAGCCTGCTACTCGAAAATGAGACTTCTGTTCAGAACAGGAAGATGTTTCCAAGATGAATCTATCTCTCAACTTCTACAAGGAGCCATTATCTCAAAACAGGTAAGGTTAGACTGAGGTGAGAAGAGCATGCCCCAACCAGGAGCTGAAGTGTGACAAAGAATGACAAAGACAAAAACCCCACAGATAACTTCCCTCTTCAAAGGAAGAATAAGAGCCATTCCCAGCAACCGTACACCGCCCGGCTACTCTAGTAAGATGGGGGTTGAGTCAGCTAGATGGTGACCTCCTGAGGGATGGGACCCTGTTGGCCTGGCACAACAGAAGCACTCAAGTATTTCTTTACCGCCAGAATGCACCTCCTCACCACGTGGACCATACTGGCTGCTCACGGCCCTCACCTGGCTTGCATCCAGCCTTTGGGCCACAGAGGTTTGACCTCAGCATCCAGAAAGGCCTTCACATAGTCCTCCCAAGACTGGGTCCTGTTGTTCCTCTCCAGATCGTAGCTCTCCAGCTTTAGCCTCACCACGTGGCAGAGCAGCTCCCTGAGGGGCAGAGACAAGTCAAAAACTTCAAACTACCCCAAATGCTGCTTTCAAGGTTTCAATCATGTGCTTTCAGCAGCCCTGATTAAAGTAAATGATTCTAACCTTCATTAGAAACACAGGAACATGCTCAGACACTGGCCCCACAAACCCTCCAATGAGGCAAGGTCCCAGTTTGGGCACACCTGATTTCATCATTCCACTGGAACTTCTTCCGGGGTCCCATTATCCTCCTGCCCCCCTTTTCCTCATCTTCTTCCTCATCAGAGCACATCCGCTCCCTCTGCTCCTTGTCCTTCTCCTCTTCCAGCATCCTATAGTGTGAATAGGACCAATGGGACCCTAAAGTCACCACCATGGAAGAACTACTTCCTCCCATATCCACCACCTCCCCCCTGCCCAAAGCCCCGCCCCGGGCTTCTAAGAGAAGGTGAAAATGCTGCAGAAGAGCCAAGAGTCTCATTCACAAATGTAATAATGGGGGGAAAAAAAAAGAAAGAGAAGAGGCAAGAGGATAATGTCACGTGAGAGCCAGGAGACACACTTACTTAGCGACCTTGGCTTGTGTGTGTGCCTGGCATTCATCCTGGTACTTGGCCATCTGCTCTGGCATTGCCCTTCCAATGGCTTCCTTAAGCTTCTGGAGAGGCTCCTTCAGACGCCCCCCCTGCAGAGAGCAGGACATATCCTAAGACTGGTTTATGCATCACTCCTTATATTGAGGACACACTACTGGAATAATCGCACGAAGGCAGGACAACTGCAGATGTGGCATCTGTGAAGACTCAGTCACCCTCTCCGCTGGGCCCTGAAGCCAAGGGACTCCACTCCACAGTCACCCACCTGTTCGTAGAGGTGAAGTTTCCGAGCACGTTTGACCAGGGTGTCCTTGCTGCAGGGCAGGAATGAAGCAAGATAGGCATACACCCCAGAACGGATTTGGCTACTCAGCTCCCGAGTTTGCACCTCTATGCTGAAGAACAGAACAGAGTCATCAAGAGCCTGCAGCTCCCTGGAGCTCCTCTCATCATGAGGTCATCCTACTGCAGAGAGGAAAACTAAGAGCCAACAATAGATCGAACCTTCTGCTGTCGGTCATGCAATGTAAATGAGTGACCAGTGCAACAGATCCCCAGCAGTCGCCAAATCAGAACTCCCACACCTGACGAACTTGGCTAGGTACGGAAGCTCAAGACCCTCAGGTCAAAGACAAGACCAACTCAAAGGTAGTCAGGAAAACAGAACCCAAGAGAACCACCTCTGAAGTACTAAATTTCACATAAGAGCTTTCAGAATGAAAGTGATTGAGTTACTTGCTGTAGACAGGGAATACCTTCCAACAGCGTTTCCTTTTTTCCCCAGTTCTATCCCTAATAAGGAGGTCAGGGAAATCCTCATCCCTCCAGTGTCCCCATCTAAATGAGCAGAAAAATATTTGTCTTCAATCCTTTGAGTTCTCTGTATTTGGCATGCTCCAGCACGCTATTGTTGACACAAATCTCTCATGTGTGCTGACCCTCAGGTGCTCTCTATAGTCCAGGCTTCCTGACCCAGGAGGCCAATCCCCATCCTGGTCATTTGCTAGAATATTCCCAAGCCTTGACAACTGTTCTTACATGTGCAAAATCCTCACTTGCTGAGCACAAGCTTCCTCTGCTAAATAATGCAACAGAGAGAGAAGCTGGCAAAGCTGGAAGGCAGGATACTAAGAACCTGGTTTGGGTTTATATGTGCAGTTTTTTTTTTTTGCTTTTTAATCTACTTCATACAGTGCAACATCTCAGAGGTTCAGGTATCCTGGAGAAGAGCCACGAGATGGTATTTATATACCCTGCCCTTGGGAGAAGTGAGAGTGAGAAGAGAATGATCCCAGGAGAGCAGGCTCCTGCGGCTGCACCAAGTTATCTCTTACTTTTCTGGATTCTCAAAGACAGGCAAGCAACACTTTTTTTCTCTCTCATCTCATACTTGCAAGAAATCCTCTTCCAACTGGCCATGATTGTTATAACAGTGTTCTAATAACACCTGCTGCCTAAGGTTACTTAAGGTCTATCATTTCTTGGAGACAAATATTTGGTGTACCCACCCCCCCCTTTTAAAAAAAATAAACAAACAATAAAAACCATTTTTTCTCTCATAAGTGGTCATCGTTAATGTAGTTCAATCAATGCTCATTTCCCCAGCCTGCTCAAGCCAGGCATGGTAACAGCAGATGCTCGGAAACAAAAGATACTCACTCTAAGAGGGTGCCATTAACATCTTGGGTGAAGAACTTCTGTCTGCTCTCTCCTTCAGCAGCTCTGGCAGCCTGGTTCACAGCAGACAGTAACATCCGTTAGTGCACTTTCCCCACACCGACCACAAACACCCACAGGCACAAGACCAGTCAGTCCCTACAGAACACCTGTCGATTCAGTAAAATCCTCACTGTGCCCTTCCCTACTCAGCCCTAATCCCAGATTAAGTTCACATATGATCACTATATACTCCACAATTGGTATATCCAGCTTTTTTCAAATGCTACTAAAGCATCTACGGACTGTCATTCTTCCCAGGACTTGAAATGACAGTCATATAAAAGAAAATCATACAGAGTCAAAGCAATCAGGAGGCATTTGGTTCAACCAGCTAGTTAACTCCTGTGAATGGCAGTCTGTCACCTCAACTGTGAGTTGGTATTTCCATACGTCTACAATATAAAAACAATTAAGAACTTCAACAAAACCGCAAAATTCAAAGGTCTTTATCCCCCCTGACCCCTAAATAATAAAAAAGTGCTGCTTTAGCATTTACAGACATTGTAATTTTTGGGAAATTCACAATCTACTTAGAGTGTATCACAAACTCTATGACCCAGACCATTTGAACTACTAACACACCTTCCTACCTATTGACACAAGTAGCAGCGCAGGCTACTGTACAGTCTTTTGCTTCCCATAAGAACACAATCAGCACCCTGGATGGCAGCCACAGCAGGCAGCCAAGGCACTGAGCGCCGAAGTCAGGAAAGCAATCACGGCAAAAGTCTGAACCACTGGTTCTCATATTCAGCTGCATATTGGAATTACCTGGTGGCTTTCCCCACCCTTGACCCATCACATCAGAATCTCTGGGGATGAGGCCCAGGAATCTGTTTTTCTTTTCCTTTTTTTTTTTTAAAGATTT